CTTTTATTACTGAGGTTTCCAGGTAATAAACTCATTATGCACACTCCTCAAAAAAGTGACCAATTAGTTTTTAAAAATATTATCATCACAGGATTTAAGCCTATGATATATGTCAAGCTGCAATTCCTACCTTATTAAAATTCAAATCTTACCCTTTTGTCCAGTAGGAATGTGTCAAGCTGACTCCTTAGTTTTTTAGAAATAAAATTAGTTGTCTTTTATCACTCCTTAATTATCTGGCATTTAAAGATGTTTTTGGCTAATTGTGTTAGTTTCCTAGGGCTTCTGTAGCAAAGTACCATGAAGTGATGGTTTAATGCAGATATTTATTCTCTCAGTTCTGGAGTCCAGAAGTCTGAAGCCAAGGTATCGGTAGGATCATGCTATGTTCCACACCTTTCACTTAGTTTCTGGTGTTGTTGGGAATCCTTGGTATTCCTTGGCTTGTAGTCACATCACTCCAATCTTGGTTTTCATTGTCACAGGATTTCTCCTTGTGTGTCTTCATATTGTCTCCCCTCTGTGTGTGTCTGTCCCCACATCTCTTCTCCTCCTCTACAAGGACACAAGTCATGCTGGATGAGCCCACATAATATACCATCACCTAGGTTGTGGTATGAAAGAGAGACACATGTGTCCATCTGCTCCCCCACTCCAGTGGATTTTTTAATCCTCACCTGAGAAAGTGTTTATTAATTTTAGAGAGAGAGAAAAGGAGGAGGGGAGAGAGAGGCACAGGGAGACCGGAACATTGATTGGTTACCTCCTATATTCACTCCAACCTGGGATCAAACCTGCAACTCAGGTATGTGCCCTAACCAGGAATTGAACCAGCAACTTTTGGTGTATGGGGCAACACTTGAACCAACTCAGTCAACTGGCCAGGACATCCCCCGCACTGTTTGAGAGTTCTGCATGGTATGCTAAGTCCCCTGAACTTCCAAGAACATATGCATGAGTGCTGGGAAGACATTATCCTGCATTTGCAGTACCAGAAAAGTGCAGGGAAGATCAAGAAATGAGTATCTTGCATGTGAGTTGAAGTGCTGTGAGAATGAGACCAGCTGCAGCCTCACTGATCTACCTACCATCACTGTGGCTAGAATCTGAGATGAGTTTGAGAGGATTTGAGGTTTTGCACAAATGCCTCCTAAACAGGGGCTTTGATGGGCTCAATATCAACCCAGATGTAGGTGGTGAGAAATTGGCAGGGCAGTTCTGCCATTCTCAAACCAGATCTTTCACCTCTGGTCCAAAGTGGTTCCAGAAGGTGCAGAAATGAGGGAGCTCATGCTCCTTCCCCAGAAAGGCCTGGCCTGAAAATGTCACCCACCACATCCCATCAGCCAGAACTCAACTACTCATGTACATTGGGCTCCAAATGAGATTAGAGAGCCCTTAGCACATGCAGCCAGGTGGTTTTGTGATTCCCTAAAAATCACTATCAAAGGAAAGAGAATGGACACAGTGGACCTGGATGTCAGGACCTACAGTGGCAGGAAGCAAGAGCAACCCAGCACCAGGCAGAGGGCTGCTGTTGGAGTCCTGAGAAGAAGCAGTGACACTCAGGATAAGACTAGAAGGACCCCAGCAGATGCCAAGGATATAAAGCTGATGGAATGCCTTCTTTTTCATTAGTTAAATGTGATTCCAGTGTGAAGGAGTTGGTATTTTCTGCTTTCAGTACTCAGCCTAACTTTTGCTGATTGATGCCCCTCCTTCCCTCTTGGCAAATACTCCTTTTGGTCCTCACTAAGATCTCAAAAAACTTTTTCCCAGTCCACCATATAGCCTGAGGCAAAATATATAGCAACTGTTCCAAAGACTTATAGACAAAGAACAATAGCTTAAAAATATTTATACTTAGGCCAATTTTTCAACTAAATTTGCAGCCAGGTACTTCCAGGAACCTCTTAGCTGGTCACATTGGCAGCCATCACAATGAGCCCAGTGCTCGGTGCCAAGGCACATTCAGTGATATTTGGAGGGGTGGTTAAAGTCCACATTTGCAATCAGACTCCCTAGAGTGCCTCTCACCAGAGGCTGATAGGAAGGTGCCAGACAACAACCATCTATGGATGAAGGTTTTGAGAGTCAGGTTAAGCTCTGGGGTCCTCTGGGAAGTCTGATTGTCATGTGGCTTGCTGAAGAATCTACTCATCATACCCTGAAATTCAGGGCACTCTGCAAACCAAACTCAGCTCCTTCAAGAATTTTAGGGGTAAAAGTGGCCTCAGGTTGGCCAGCAACTACTAATTTCCCTTCTGTCTCCCTCCCTCCTGATCTTCCTTGCCCAGAGCTGTTCCACTGGGAAGAAAGGGGGAGGCACAAACCCAGGATGCTAACCTGGGTTCCTGGAATATAATAAAAGCTTGATCAGTGTAGCTATTGCTATTTCATCTCTTTCCTATCTAATTTTATTATAAGATCCTTGGGGAAGAGTCCATGTGGCATGTTTCATTGTCCTTCCCCTCCCCAATGTGTAGCACAGTGCATTGCATACAGTAGGCCCAATGTGATACTGTTTGCTTAGCTAATCATGAGAAAGTAGAAAATCACATTAGTAGCAATATTTGTTGACTATTGGGTCTGTATCTGTCCCTGTGGCTGTGTGTATCACACAGCTTCAGGAGGACATGCCTCATCTGGCTTGCAGAACTCAATCTCTCAGCCCTGAACCTCCACTCTGCTACTTACTGGCCATGTTATTTTAGGGCAAGTGCCTCAGTTTTATCCTCTATTAAGTGAGAATAATGATACATGTCAAATATTGAGAAGAATCCCTGGCATACCTTCTATTTTCTGGACTCAATTTTGTGTCTTTGATAGAAGGGGCTCTATCTCATTTCTTCTGGGGTCCTCAGTAGCCAGGGTTCTGTCAGGTAGAAGGTTAACAAGTGTTTAGTGAACCAAACAAACCTGCACTTCCCATGTCAGGTGTCAGTGGTGAACTTCGCAGCATCTGTTGAATCTGCAGCATCTTAGGGAAGCTAACTATCAGGACTGTGGTAGAGATGGCCATGCTTGTGGGTATCTGGCTCTTCTTTCCTTTCAGCACACAGGAGAGTGCACTTCCAACATACCAAGGTTGATGGGGCTATGGGACAAGTTCTAGCCCATAGGCAGCGAGAGGAGGTGTGTGAAGCCACATGTAATTGTAGGTACCAGGCCCTCCACTCTCTTTTCTGTTAGTTGGGGAATTAGAGGCTACAAGTTTCAGGTGGCAGAACCTCCTCCAGCATATTCCACAAATTTTACAGAGCTGAGACTACACCAATCTGCAAGGACAGTACTATGAACTAACAACCTTGTGTTCAGCCATTATCACAATGGTAGTTACCATAGCATAGCCTAATCTGATTCACACACCTAGAAAGGAACACACACACACACACACACACACACACACACACACACACACACACGTGGGTGTACACACAACTTAGGGGTGAGAAAATTGAAAATGAAGAAACAAAGGATTCTGACTTGCTCAAAGTAAGTGACTGATCTTGTGACAAGAATCTAGATTCTCCCTATCCTAAACCAGTATGTTTCTGTTTTCCCCAAGGTGGTCCCATAGTAAATGTTTCTCTCCACATTTACTGTTCTCTCGCTTGTGTCTAGACTTTGTATACATTTTTTCTTCTGCCTAAAATATAATTTTTTACTTCTTCAGCTTATGTCAATTCCAGGCTACAACATACTTGTCCTTTTGATCTCAGCATAGATAGCACTACCCCTGCGAAGCATATTTAATCCCCTACATCTTCTCCTTGCAACCTAAGAGTGATCCATAGCCCCACTCTTAAAAATAGAAAAGCCTACACTGACGTGCATTTATACATTAACTCTTCTATAATCTCTGACTAGACTGAAAATTGTGCCAAGTCAGGGGTCACACCTGTCTTTGCTCACTGTGACATCTTCTGGTCCCGACACTCACCTGTACATAGTGGATGCTCCATGGATGTTGATCGAAGGAAAATATGAAATGGTATAGCTACCATTTACTAGGTGCTTATCAAGTGCCAAGTTCCATGCCTGCCTCTTCACATAATGATCTCAATTTTTAAAATAATTTTATAAGGTAGATATTGCTATTCCATATTTAAAAATCAGGAAAACATCTTTAAATCCAGACAGGTTTAAGATTCAAGATTTAAAATTTAAAAACATCTTAAGCCCAGAGAGATTCAAAAACTTACTGAAAGTCACAAAACCAAGAGATGGTAGATACGGGATGTAGACATTGGTCTTGCTCCACTAGGCTACTCAGCCACACAGTGAGAGTACACAGAGCAACAGGCCCATGCTGCTTTGTGAGAGAGAGGCTGAGGTAACTAACCTACATGCCTCACAGTCCACACTGCTTTTTCCAAAATAGTGAAGATTAATTTCAAGAAGGTAGGGCTCGAATGTTATTTCACCATTAAGCTTTTCTTGCCCATTATAAGGCATATCATTTCTCTTTCTTTGAATATTCATGGTTTATCCTTCTCAACTCATGATTATGCAATTGACTATTCCTGTCTTCATTCAGTGCATACCCATTTCTAATTGACGGAGCACACAAGCTCATGAGTGCTTCCATGGATGAGCCTGTGCTTCTTTCCCCACATGACACACCAGGTGCCTGTCAGGGGAGAGTGTGCTGAGTGTGGGACAGCTAGATGGAGTCACAATCATATAGGGCATACCTCCTACCTTTATTCTGACAATCCTGACATTATGTCTAAATGCTTTCATTCCAAAAATAAATTATTCTATTTGTCTTCTTCTTCAGACCACAAATTATGCTTTGGGATCGAGGAAGCTATCCCTCTAAGATACTCCACCAGAAATGAGCTGATACACTTGGGCTTATTGGTATGTCAGATAATGAGGAACTGCTGGCTACAGCAAGAGCTTCTCCCTCTGGCTCTGACTGGTGTGGCCCAGTTGGCTGGAGCGTTGTCTCTTAACCAAAGGATTGCAGGTTGATTCCTGGTCAGGTCACGTACCTGACTTGCAGGTCCAATCCTCAGTCCAGGTGCATAGAATCCCAGGTCTGGCACATCCAGGGGGCAACTAATCTGGGCCTCCTATGATCCAGGGTCCAGGTACTCCAGTAGGCAGCCAACTGATGTATCTCTCTTACACTCATATTTCTCTCTCTCCTTTCTTCCCTCCTTCTCTCTCTCTCTCTAGATACAAGGAAAAAAGTGTCCTCAGGTGAGAATAAAAAAACAACAATAACAAAGCAAAACAAAAAAATCACCTCTCCCTTTGGAAGGACAGTTGGTTAGGGCCATCTCAAGACACCTGGACTCCTATGATGAGGAGCCCAAAGCCACTGCCCGTGTCAATGAGGGTGGGGCAGGTGCTGGCCCACATATGCCCATTGTGGCCTCCTGCAGTCCCTGGAAATCCCACTGAGAACCATCAGGTGCTAGGCAGGTGAGGTCCTGCACTTCACTTAGCAACATATTGTCACCTTAAGAGTGCCAGACATGTCTACCACAGGGGCCTCTGAAGAACCCTCTTAGGTAAGTAGAGGTCAACAGAAATTGGATTTCAAAGATTTTTAACTTTCATGTGTTCAATTCAACATACCCCTACTTCATACTAACCAGCAAGAGGTATTGCTATTGCACACGCCTTACCGAGAATGTGACATTTCTACCACCACTGGCCCTGCGTTAGGTCCTGGGATGTCTGCTGGCCCTGTAGGTAGGGGTCCCAGCCAGCCCTCGGCACAGTGACAGTATACTTGTGGGTAGCAGGGGAGCAGAAGGGGCTCTTCAAGTCTGTGTGCTAGCACTTTCCAGCACTTTTTTAGGAGTCTCACATAGGTTCTGTTGAGCTTGAACTGCTAGGAAAAGTCCAGACAGTAAATATCCTACGCTTTGTGGACCATATGTTTTTTGACACAACTATCAACCAATAGGTGTGCAAACTGAAGCACAGAGAGTGCTAGTAACTTGTTTGGGTCACACAGCTGACTGTGGCAGTGCTAGGATTTGAACCCAGGCAGGCTGCCTAGAGAGTCTGAGCTCCTAACCACTATGCTAAAACACAGGTGAACCAAACATCATAATAAAAGATGTATATTTTAATGTTAAATTGGCTAATAAAGACTCCAAGTGAGCCTGAGTTTAGAGAAAAGTTATGTGGACAAGAGCTGCAGTGGTAAGGAGGACGGATGGACTTCAGCCAGGGAGAGCAATGTCTCAGTGGCAGCAGGGGACAGTGCTGGGCTCCATGGAATGGAGTTATTTGGTTCTTGTCCAGACACGCTCTATCTATCCATAACTAAAACTTATCGAGCACTCACAATGTGCCTTACCCCATTAAGCACTTTCATTGCCTTAAAAGACAAATTAATCTGTTTTACTACATAGATAATCAGAGGCTATGAAAACTAAACATGGCTTTAAAAACTGTCTAGAGAGTTCCAGCTGTCCTCCGGAAGGAAAGACTGGCTCAGCACACGGGCATTGACACCTGACAAATGGTTTTGCATGCTGCACTACCATTTTCTGAGAGGTTCATCAGGTAGAGCTTTTCCTTCTATGTGTGGCAAACCATACACTTCCAACTGGCCTGAAGCAAAAAATATGGAGTTTATTGACTGAAGACCCCAAGGTCCAGAGCCTTTCCCTTAAAGCACAGTTGGCCGTACTCATGAAGTGGGGTTGGAAGCTGGTGTCCAGGAAGCAATGTATGTCTGCTCCATTCAATAGTCCTGGGCTGGTGCTTTGTCCTTGATTCTCTCCAATACCTTCATCACCTTTACTCCAAATACCTTAAGAGATTGAGATATTGAATGTAAAATCTTTAAAACTGAGTTGTCATTTTGCCCCCCACCTGCCCATTTTGTGATTCCTACTGTCTCCTCTTTACCTCTGCCACCACCACCAACACTGCAGTAGAGTCTTTTTTGATGTGGTCCAGACATTGGAAGGTCCCTGGGGCTGGGAGGATGTGCCTATGAGAACATCTATCACCCCCCTACCCCCACACTGCTACTTTAGAATGTATTCCAAAGATCCTGGACTTGCCCACCAAACATGGCAAAGGGGCAGACATTCTTTTTTGGCAGGTGGGAAAATGTGAAGCAAAATGAAGGGTAGTTACTGTTCCTGTGATTCTGTCTTTAACAGCATGTTACACGGAGCTAAGGAAATGTTATAGGTAGCCAAGAAAGAGAAAATGGAAAGAATAATGCTACCTGACTCTGTGAGATAAAAGAGAGTGGAACAGTAGGAAACTAGGATGAACAAATTTCTTTTGCCGGTGACCTTGGCTTGAAGCAGGTTATTTGTATGACTTTATTATGTAACTTTTAGTTTTTAATGAAGTTGAATGAATTGCAAACATCCAGTAGAATTGGTACCAACTTTGTAGGTTCTTTCAAAGATGTGCACAGAGGTAATAATAACATTTAGAGAGCAACTTCATGCATGTTATTCCGTTTGTTCATTGCATCAATTCTACCATCATGATTTTCATTTCATAGGTGCATAGCTAAATGCTCAAGAATGTCATCTGCCATAAGACCAGGGCCGCCACTCTACACAAATCCAGGAGCCACCATTCATAGTGTACAATGACCCTGAAGTTGGATGTGACTTTAAGTGGTAGTCCCGACCAACCAGAGGTAAATGGTAAAAGGTGGTGCTTAAAACTAAGTTTTGTCAGCTTATTTCAGGGTACATGTTACTTAAATCTGGAAGTAAGGGAAGAAAGGTTTCTGCCCTGTCCTTTATCTTCCCTCATTACGATATATAAGGTATACTGCAAATAAGTTTTCATTCATATGTAACTTACTGTGGAAATTAGTCCTCCTTTTAGACTCAATATATTTAGAATTTTAAGTCAGTTTGTTCAAATATATTTTGCTTAGGATTGTTAACGATTGGGGTGATATAGTATTCACATCAAATATTGTTTAAAAATTATGTATAAAATAGTTGTCAGTTTTTTCTAAGTATAAAAGCAAAGGTTTCTGGATTAAATCTATATATTTGAAATTCTCTAGTTTTGCCTTTCCAGCTAACTTATACATTTGATACCCTGAAAAATTTCTGCTAGAAAATACATGTAAGTTATAAAATATAATAAAAATCCACATCTTTTTAAGTTTATGTGAGCTTGAAATAAAATAAAAGAAATCCCCAGAGGACAAAACCAAATGGGGTGGGATCTAGTGGTGAGCCAGTGCTATGAATAATGGTTTATAGCATTTATATCCCTGGAGGTACCTGCCAATTTTCCACAACTTTGTGCTTTGGGTTTAAAATCCACAAAGAAGCAGAAGAAAATACCCAGGGATCTTGGAAGGGGAAGAGTCTGGCTGGATCTTCTAATGCAGCTAGAAACTCCAAGAGCCCCAGTCAGTGAGAGGATCTAGGCACAAAGACTGACAGCAAACAAACAAACAAACAAATGGACAATGACAATTCGGACACACACGCAGACACAGAGTCCAATGTGGGACTTAGCAGACACAGAGAGCTTATCTTAAGGTCTGTTTTTATGGGAACCCAGAGTTAAAAAATGACCAGGTTAGATTTATTCTAGAAATGTAAGTGTGATTTAACATTTGAAAATCTATCAATGTAGTTTCCTATACTACTAAATAAACTAGAATATCCTAAGCCCATCTCAGTAGATGCTGAAAATATTTGATAAATGTTCATATCCCTTAAGCTTACAACAATCAGCAGAAAAATTGAATCTACCAAAATCTTAGAGCAAACATTGTACCAAATGGTAGAATTTAAAACATTCCTTTTCAGAAATTGTTAAGACAGGCTTTCATGTTACACCATGAACTGGTGGTTCGACATTTCAGTAAGATGAAGAAAATAATGAATAAGAGTTTGAAAGGAAGACACTAAAATTTTATTGTTTGTTTACTATCTGTGAACACATTCCTTTCAAACATCTTTAAAATACTCATATGAATAACAGGTTTAACAAAATTGCTAGATGTAAGATAAACTGCCTGCATTTTGCAGAGTATAATGTGCACATTTTGCACAAAATTCTGAGGGAAAATAAGAATGCACATTATACATGGGTATAATGATTACATATAATGGGTATAATAATGGGTATAATAATCCTGTGTATAATGTGCCCCAAAACATGGGTGCACATTATACACAGGAAAATATGGTAAAAGTCAAGTTGATTTCCAAAACCAAGCAACAAAGAGTAAACATAATTTTTATACAGGCACTATCTATAATAGCAACAAAACATGTAAGTGCTAGGAATTAATCTAACAAAATATGGGATTTCTATAGGGAAAATGATAAAACTTTATTAAAACATGTTTTTAAATCCCCTAAATAGATTGTGAAATGTGCCATATTAATGGGTAGAGGAGTTCAATGTTTTAAAGATATTATATCTTCCCAAACTTATTTTAATAAGGTGGTTTATTAAACTTGTCAAGCGATTTTAAAACATAAGAAGTAGGATGACAAATATTTAAGATGAGCCCAAAGAGAAAGGTGAAGAAAATGTTTTACCAGACACTGATATTTGTTTAAAAAAACAAACAACAACAATGAAAAAATAAACAGTAGTTAACATAGTGTGGCCCTGGCATAGGAATATGCCAGCAGAACAGTAAGAAAAAGACAGAGCACAATAATTACTGGTACAAACATGGAGACTTGCTGTATCAGAGAGTTGCTAATTCAGATCTGAGGAGAGAAGCCAAATACCCAAAATGTGCTTCAGAAAGCAGAAGAAAAAAGTGAAATCGAGCCTTTATTGTACACAATACACAAACATAAAATAAGGTGATTTAAATCCAAGAAAAAAAAGGAAAAGAAAAGAAAGGAAGGAAATAAACACAGAAATTGTGATTTTAGGGATAAGGTAAAAACATTTTTTTAATGAAACAAACAAACAAAAAATTACACAACCCAAAAGGGAAGACTGATAAACTTGAATCCATTAACATTTAGAATTGCTGTTCATTCAAAAGACAACATGAAGAAAATGAAGAGAAAAATCAGGAAAATACATTTTATAAAGTATCAATATGCATAATATATAGACAATTCCCACAAATCAGTGAGAAAAGACAAAACAACCTAGTAGTGAAATGGGCAGAAACTTGATATTTGCTTCACAGAAGAGCAACTACAAATGGCCAACAAACCCATGAAAACATTCTCACTGTCTTTCATAACCACAGAAAATAAAAATTAAAACTGCAATCAGATACTATTTTACACACATACAAACAGAAAAACTTAAAAGTTGATTATACCATTCTGGTGGAATCTTCAATTCATGTATTCATTTTAAAAAATGACTATAAAAATGCATTAAAGTTAAAGATGGGCAGAATTAAGACCAGCTATTTCATTCCAATGTCCAAAATGATGTGCATAGAAAATATATTTATGTACAAGTATGTGTTAAATATACTTTAATTGTTAAACATACATTTTTAACAAGTGAAATGAAAATTAAAAAAGTAAAAACTACAAATAACCTAAATTTCCATTGGTAGAAGTGAAAAGTTGTTATATATTTATTACAGTTCAAATGAATGAACTGAAGCTGCCTGAATAGAGACATAAAGTGGATTAGAGGTCAACAGAGGCAATCAGAAGTGAGTTACTAATGGGTGCAAAGTTTCTTTTGGGGGTAATAAAAACATTCCAGATTTAGATAGTGGTGATGATTTAACAACTTTGTGAATATGCTAAAACCACTGAATTATACATCTGTATGATATGTGAGTTATATCTCAATAAAAATACACAATGTTCAGTAAAAAATGCAAGTTGCAAAATAATACATATAGTATGATAATGCTTATATAATACTTAAATATAAGTATAATGCAGAAATATATTATTTTGTTTACATATGTATGTCATAAGGACAAAGAATAATAAAACAAAATTTAGGACAGTGATAAGTCCAGTCAATGAACTTCAAAATATTGGTAATATTCTATTTTTTTTAGCTTAGAGATGAGTATATTGACTTCACATCATTATTTATAATTGACATAAATGTTAAATATAGTTATGTTACATAACATAAAAAAATTAAAGTTAACAAAACAAAATCCCATTAAATATGTGAGAGAAATGTTGGAAGAGAAGAAATGATATCTGCCTCTTAAGTGTAAAATATAAAAGAGATAACAAGTCCCTAGTATATTACTTGACCAACAGGGAACTAAAAAATATTACCACACGCTGTTGACACAGGGGCGTGTGGTGGTGGAAAGAAGTGAATAAACTTCTGAGAGATTTTGGACGGATTGGGATTGGGAGTGAGAACTATAGGAAGAATGACCAGTAAGTTTTTAGCTTACATAACTAAATGTATGGTGGCTTATTTACCAATATACAAAATATCACAAAATACAGGGGTGGGCAAAAGTAGGTTTAAAGTTGTTTGTATGGAAAATAGTACAATAATGAATAAACAATAATATAAGAATAGACTCTGTGTTTTGCATACTCCCAACTGTAAACCTACTTTTGTTCACCTCTGTAATATTTAATCAGTTCAGTTTAATTTTTAAAATATATTTTGATTATGCTATTACAGATGTCCCATTTCCCCCCTTTATTCTCCTCCACCCTGAATCCCCCACCACCCATCAGCATTCCACCTCCTTAGTTCATGTCCGTGGGTTGCACATATAAATTCTTTGGTTTCTACATTTCTTATATTATTCTTAACATCCTCTTATCTATGTTGTACCTATTTATGCTTCTTATTCCTTGTACCTTTTCTCCCATGCTCCCTCCACCCCTCCCCACTGATAATTCTCCATGTGATCTCCATTTCTATGATTCTATTCCTGTTCTAGTTGTTTGCTTAGCTCATTTTTGTTTTTATTTTCTTCAGGTTCAGTGGTTGATCGTTGTGAGTTTGTTGTCATTTTACTGTTCATAGTTTTGGAATTTTTTTCTTTTTCTTAAATAAGTCCCTTTAACTTTTCATATAATAAGGGCTTGATGATGATGAACTCCTTTAACTTGACCTTATCTGGGAAGCACTTTATCTGTCCTTCCATTCTAAATGATAGCTTTGCTGGATAGAGTAATCTTGGATGTAGGTCCTTGTCTTTCATGACTTTGAATACTTCTTTCCAGCCCCTTCTTGCCTGCATAGTTTCTTTTGAGAAATCAGATGTTAGCCTTAGTGAAACTCCTTTGTAAGCAACTGTCTCCTTTTCTCTTGCTGCTTTTAAGATTCTCTCCATATCTTTAACCTTGGGTTATGTAATAATGATGTTCTTTGGTATGTGCTTCCTTGGGTCCAACTTCTTTGGGACTGTCTGACCTTCCTGGACTCCCTGGAAGTCTATCTCCTTCGCCAGTTTAGGGAAGTTCTTCATTATTTTTTCAAATAATTTTTCAATTTCTTGCTCTTCCTCTCCTCCTTCTGGCACCCCTATGATTTAGATATAGCAATGTTTCAAGTTGTCCCAGAGGTTCCCAAACTTCTCTTTGTTTTTTAAAATTCTTGTTCTTCATTCTGTTCTGGCTGAATGTTTACTTCTCTTTCTGCTCCAAACCACTGATTTCAGTCCCAATTTCCTTCCCTTCACTGTTGGTTCCTTGTGCATTTTCCTTTATTTTACTTTTCATAGCCTTCATTTTTTTCCTCTATTGTGCAACCATACTCAGCCATTTCTGTGAGTATCCTGATTACCAGTGTTTGGAACTCTGCATCTAATAGGTTGGTGATTCCTTCATTGCTTAGCTGTATTTTTTTCTGGAGCTTTGATCTGTTCTTCCATCTTGGCCATATTTTTTTGTATCAGTGCAACTGTTAGGTAGTAAGGGGTGGAGCCTTAGATATTCACCAGGGCAGGGCAACCCACATTGCTGCATTGTGGTGCTGTATACAGGGGAGGGATTTGAGAGGGAATAATGCTGCTTGCTCAGCTCTCCACTTGGTTTTGGTCACTTCCTCAGCTACCCACAAGCAAATTGGGCCCTTCTGGTATTGATTCCCGGGTGGGTGGGTTTGGGTATGTTCTAGCACTTTGTGGGTCTCTCCAACAAACTCTCCTGTGAGGCTGGAAGTTTCTCCCACTGCCTCAACCCCCACAGGTTTTTTCAGTCAGATATTTTGAAGCTTTATTCCTCCACACTGGAACCCTGGGTTGCGTGGTCTGTCTTGTTCCCCAGTTGTTCCTCCTGGTTTACCTGCATACAGATGTGAGACCACCCAGTCTGCCAGCCGCCACCTTGCCCGGTCCTTCAGCCCCTGCCTTGCCATGAGCCTTTTCTGCTCTGGCTGCCCATGTCCACCCCTCCTACTGGTATGGACAAATGTTTCTCCTTTAACACCTTGGTTGTCGGACTTTCATACAGTTCGATTTTCTGGCAGTTCTGGTTGTTTTTTGTTTTTAAATTTGTTGTTGCCTTTCTTTTGGTTGTGCGAAGAGGTACAATGTATCTATCTATGCCTCCATCTTGACTGGACCAGTTTAATTTTTTTAATTAAAAAGTTTAATCATTAGCAAATTAAGAACAACAAAAATAGGCAAGTATGAGAGAATGATTAAATGAATCATGGTACAACTGTATGAAAAATAGGTGTGTAACCATAAAAAATCATGTTTTAAGAAATTGATGGCATTTAAAAATATAAAAACAGTCTATTATCTGCACATGCAGTACACACAATAATGTATATGCATATAAACAGATGGCCAAAAAGTCCTTAAAGTGCCAATGATGGTTATGTCTGGGTGATATAAAATTGTAACTAATTTTTATTTCTATAACATTAATTTTATTACTAATTTTAAAATTATTCCTAATTCTAATTTTCTTCTATTTGTTTTATCATAGTCTAAATTTTCTACAATAAGCAATTATTTCTTCAATGATCAATGATATATGTGTTATTTTACCTTGTGACAAATCATTGGCAGTCTCTTCAAGTGTATGTTAAGACATTGCAGTTGCATGGTGGGTTGCAAAGCCACACATGAAACCGTGCATATGCTGCAAGATAGTGTAGGAAATCAGTTGTAAAGAGAAATGTATGTTTGTTATGACATAATTACTTGGTTGAGGTTTAAATGCCTCTTTGGGCAATTAAATTATAGCTTTCAGTCAGACACATTTAATGCATGATTATAATGCCTTCCTTTCAAGAGCATCCCAGGTGATTCACTGTGAGTGTTCAGCACAGCACCTTCTTGCACAAAACCACCTTACGAAAGAAGGCTTGTTAATTTATCAGAAACATTAAAGAAAATCTGGTGGGATTACAGGCACTGCATGGTTTTTCTCTTTTTAATTTTGGAATGTCAGAGCTTTGCATGTTTATCTCAGCATTGCTTGTTTTTCTTAATTTTCTCTACCCTTCTTTTCTACTCTCCTTTCCTGTGTTCTTTTTGAAATAAGAACATCTTTTGGAATAAATATTATGCTTTGGTTTGTCTATTCATTACAGTAGGGAAACCATGGTGTTAGTTGAACCCTCTCTATAGAGGTGATATGCTTTATTCATGGCAGTTTTTTTTTCAGTAAAATAGACATAATATAAAATAACTATGTTAAAATATAAAATACAGTGACATTTAGTACTTTCTTATGGTAGTTTTTTGTTGTTATTTTTTCCATTTTAAGACTTTTTTAGAGCACTTCACAACAAAATTAAGAGGAAAGTAGAGAGATATCCCCTTGGCCCCATACATACATAGCCTCCCTCATTGTTAGACATCACTCACCAGAGCGGCACACTTTTTTTTTTACCAACACTGATCCTACATTGACACCTCATAATCACCCAAAGTCCATCTTTTACTTAGGATTTACACTTGGCGTTTTATATTCTATAGGTTTGGACAAATGTGTAATGACATAGATCCATTATTATATCATAGAGTATTTTCATTGCCCTAAAAATTCTCTGTGCTCTGCCTATTCATCTCTCATCACACTCCAATAAGCACTGATTTTTTTATTGTTCCCATAGTTTTGCCTTTTCCAGAATGTCATATAGTTGAAATCTTACAGTATATAGCCTTTTCAGACTGGCTTCTTTCACTTAGTGATATGCATTTAAGGTTATTTTGTATCTTTTCATGGCTTGATATGTTAATCTGAGTTTTTCTATAACCACCAAAATGTTAATTCGAGGAAAAAGTATGCAAGCATAATCTAAAAATGAAGAGTGATCCTGACAAGCATATATCGAGCATCTCTACTGTATGGTAGGTTGTTTAGAAATAGTATCATGTAAGAGCAAACCCGCAAATATCCAGGGCAGATACAAGGGCCATCAGGAGAACCTCTTTGTGGATGTGCAGTCAAGAAAGAACAGCCTGTAGCAATGAGGACAGGATGAAGGTTGGGCATTAGTTTTCATGTATACTTAAAATGATGTCCGTATTTGGTCCCATACATTTGGTGGCATCTGAAAGTCTTCTAATGGAGAAATCTCTGAAAATTCTTGACCTGAAAGCATATAAAAGGAATTTCTGAATATAAACAAGTTCCATCCATTCTAGGGTATTATATGAATAAGTTTTAACAAGCTGTCAGCTTCAAAGTCAAGGAAGAGGGGAGTTTGATCCATATTCCCAAAATGCAAAAGCTGAAGAGAAAGGTTAAGATGATAGTCACTTTGGGGGAAAGTCAGTAATGGGGGTTCCCAGCTTTGCAAGGAAACCGCAAGACAGAAGAATGATGGAGGCCCACTATGCAGACAGGACAGCTGGGTGTGGGCATGGCCTCATACAGAATGACCCCAGGCACATGTGGATCTTTGCTCCTCTCTATCCTACACCAAGCACCCCATGGCTGGAGCCCCTCTGCTCACCCATAGCAGGTTTGCTGCATCTGTCATGGGCGCCAACATAAGCAACACAGAGAAGGTGGGTCTTGAGTGCTCCCACTAATGCCAGGCCTCAGTTTCTGGCTACAGCTTAATTAGCATCTTCACAGACACTATTAAAACTTAACCTGCCAGGCATCCCACTTCTGTTCATAGCAGAAGCCCCTCTAGCCATCCACCTACTTCCACAGAGTTATCTGAACTGGTCCTTGCCTTTCAACCACCGTAATTTTTCCTCCTTTATCTCCCAAACACTTCTAGTAGGTTCTTTAAAGTGTCTATTTCACTATAAATCTGAGTCTTATCTGAAACCTGGTTCCAAATGTTCATTGCTCTCTGAGGATGCTGCTGTTTCCCAACCCAGCTTTCCTCAGAATTCAGTGCCTTTCTTGGTCTGTACTTTTCCTCCCAGTCCAGGACTTTCAACTCATAATGAGTGAAAGTGCTTCACTCATTAAATGTCATCTCCAGGGACCCCAGCCATCTTTCATGCTGTCCCTGGGCTGCATTCCAACCTTCCCCACTACCATGAACACTGCACATGAGGAAACTCAGCATGTCTAGATCAACAACAGCTTCCACGTTGCCAGACCCACCTCACTGAATTACTCAGCATCCTTATCCATAGCCCACTGATCCCTCTGCCATGGTCTCCTCTGCTCACTCCCGTGATTCCTAGTTTTCTCCTGCTTCAAGGACTGCTTCTTCTAGAGTGTTCTCTGTGGGCTCCTCTTCCTGTCTCTGACTTTAAATGTTAGAGTGGTCTGGGCACAATCCTGGGTGGTCTTCTCTGTGTTGTCTCTTGAACTATGGTGTTTGCTAGCTCTACAGACTCAAATGCAGCTGTATGCTCCTGGCTCCCAAACTGATATCTCCAACCCAAACCTCTCCAGTAGTCTGACACCCTCTCTTGCAGTGCGACAGTTATGTCAAACTTCCAGTGTCTAGAATCATTCTCAATTCCTCTTCTGGACTTTTCCTCCTCGGCTAGTCTACCCTATTTCAGGGGAGGGAGCTGCTGGCCACGCAGTTCCTGAGCAAGGCTTTTCCAGAGCCATTTCGGATTCTTCCCTATCTCCCTCACACTCAAACTATCACCTAGGTCTACTGAGCTTTAAACAATTAAATTCTGTCTACACTTTGAATAGATTAATGCATTACACAATTTACAAAGTCAAAAAGGTTACTTGGTGAAATGTTAGTCCTCCCCTGTCTCCCAAGCCCTGTCCAGCCCAAGGTTTGCAGTGTGGCCTGCTTTGTGGGTACGTTTGTAGAGTGTCTGTGCTTGTACACACACATTTCTTTTTTCATAAAAATGTAGCACCCTACTATATATGCTGTTTTGTGGCATATTCCCACCTTATACTGTATCCTCAAATATGAGTCTGTATAAATAGAGCTACCTCATTTATGTTAGAGTTGTACAGTACTCTGCTATGTATATACACACAAATAGATAAATAGATAAGATATATGTACATATATCTACACACACACACACACACACACACACACACACAATTTGATCAGTTCCCATTTTTTGGCATTTCAACTTGCTTCTGAATTTTTGCTGTCCTAGACAAGACTGTAATGTAGAAACTTCAATATATATTATTTCACACATAAGTTTTTATTCTAAACAATAATGCAATAAATACCCTTATAAAGAGATTATCTCATATCTGTACAAGTAATTCCTAGAAGTTAAATTGTGGGTCAAGGAATGTGACCATGTGCCATTTTGATAAATACAGTCAAATTGCCTTTAATAGATGCTCTCTCAGTCTGTCCCACCAGCAACCTTGTGTGGGAACCTTTCCCAACATTTTGGCAAACAATCATGTGATCAAACTTCTCAACCTGTGCCAATCTGATAGGTGAGTGATTGTAGCCCTCTGTGGTTTTAACTTGCATTTATCTTATTATGAGAGGTTAAGCAAGCTTTCATGTTTAAGACTTTCTTGCATTTATCTTCATTATTATGAACTTTGTGTTTAGATCCTTCACCCATTTTTTTATATGTGTTTTGGTCTCTTTATTATTCTCATACAGGAGCTATTAAGGTATTAAGAAGTCAACCTGCCATGTATCACACTTCTTCCCATGAAAAAACCCCTCAAGCCATGCACTTGCTCCCACAGGGTTATCCTAACTGAGCCTTGCCTTCCTTTTTTTTATTTTAATGTAAAATTAAATGTTTTTTAGTTTTTTATTGCAGTTGGCATTCAATATTGCATTAGTTTCAGGTGTACAACACAGTGCTTAGCCATTTACATACCTTACAAAGTATTTATCCCCAATAAGTCTAGTACCCATCTGACACCATACATAGTTATTACAGTATTATTGACTGTATTCCCTATGCTGTGCTTTACATCCTTGTGACTATTTTCATAACCGCCGATTGGTATTTCTCAATTCCTTTCACTCACCTTATTCATCCAGTCCCACAACCTCCCTTGCATCTGAAAACCATCAATTTGTTCTCTATATCTATGCTTGTTTCTATTTACTTTGTTTGTTTATTTTTACTTTGTTTTTTAAATTCCACATATAAGCAAAATTATATGGTATTGTCTTTCTCTATATGACAATTTTCAACAATATGGAAGGACCTAGAAGGTATTATTCTATTTCTCTTCTTTATCTCCCCAACAATTCAGTAGGTTGTTTCAAGTGTCCATTCCACTGCAAACTTTTTAAATACATACATACATACATACATACATACATACATGGCACTTCATCTGTGATACTGGCTACAATTTCTTCCAAGTTTGCTATCTTCACTTTGATTTTATTTTACTGTATCTTTTCCCACAAACTTCTATTTCAGAAAGTCACATTTATCAATAGTTTTAAATTTTATGGTTTCATGTTTTAATATTTAAATATTTGATTCATTTGACATTTTAGTGGAAGACACGGATCCAACTTTAATGTGTCTTCAGATATATTTTCCAGTATGCCAACTCTATAATCTATCTTCTCCTCGATGAAATAAAATGTAAAATTTATAATACACTAATCTCCCCTATGTAATTGAACTTATTTCTGAACTTAGCATATTAGCACTTTGATTTGGCTATGTGCCTCTAGGTTCTCTCTCTCCCACTGCACTGTGAGCTTCTTGAGGGCACACTGTGGGATCCGAGATTTCATTTCATTCTTCCTACAAACTGATTGATGAGCCTGCTGCTGTGACATACATGCGAGCAGAGGACATGAGCTTTTCAGATCAGGGACTTCTGGCACAGAAACTTCCTTCTGTTCCTCTTGCCTCCTCCACCCCCGCCCCCAAGCACCAAGGAGGTGACATGGAGAGGCCCAATGGATGCCACCTGGCAGGGGCGTTGTCACAGCTGACACACCGGATTTGGGGAATCCATCTCTACTGTAGCAGGAAATAAGTAAGCTAGCTGTTTATCCTGGAGGGAGCCATCACTTATATCTCTTAGGGTGATTGGCTGCAAAAGCAATCCCTAGAAATGGCTTGAGTATAGGGAGTCCAGGGACATGCAAATTTCATTTGCCTTGCAAAAGGTTTGGTTACTGGAGAAACCCATGGAAGCTTCCCTAGCCACTGGAAAATCTGGAGGGCTGTTGTAGGTCTGCATTGTGGTGCCCACAGGACCACACACAGTGTTTAACACAAAGCAGATGCTTGAAACAAATTGATAAGTTTAATAGAATCAAATATTTCATGGAGTTAGTATGAATTTGCCACCAGATGACATACTGGGAACTGTCTAGTCGCTATTATTCGATACTAAACAGATAATTCCTTGTACTATAGATTAGGCAGGATGAGTAGTACAAAACATTAGCTTTTAAAAAATTAACTTAAAAATAGACTAAATAGAATTACTGATGTTCGACTAATTAAAACTAATTTCCATGAAAAGAAATTTAGAGACTTTATTTACAACTTCATTCCCTGTGAAGTATTCAGCTGATAACTTTGAAAGCACGCACTGAGTTTAAGTGCCCTTAATAGCTTTTAAATGGACGTGTATTATTTATAAAATGGGCACTTGGTTATTATCACTAAAATGTTGTAATTATGCATTATTATGTTTGAAATTGTTATCTCATCATGACTAGGAATACCACCGAGAAAACAAACTTGGAGACTAAAAAGGATTTCCCCCTCCTATGAAATTAGTTAGAATGCAAACACCATTTGGAAGAGAGGAAAGTGAACTTGTTTAAAAAACTCAGAGGGGGAAAAAAAAGAACCAATAAGAAAGAGCAGTGAGACACAACAGCAAATAGTTTCATTATATTTAAGGGAGATTTTAAAATGAATGACAGGGACTTCAACACCATTAGGAAACAGAGTTGTGTACTGAGTACTGGACAATGGAAGGACCGTGGCGATGCATCCATGGGGCCACTGAAGATGTCTAGCAGCCAGGTGGATGGTCAGAGGCCACATGAAGCTGCACTGCTGAAAACAGCTCAGGATTACTTGAAAATCAATGAAAATGCTAACTGCTCAACACCGAGCATCAATAAAATAAAAAGACATTTAAAGCAAGATTAATTAAATTTGCCTCACTCTATCACCTTTCTTCTAAGTGCAAATAGAATTTTAATTAAAACTTAGTTCTACTTCACC